GATGTGATCTCTCTCTCTGAACTCTGAACTCCGACAGGTGAATTAGACACAGCTGCTGCCCTATGGGAGTTTACAAAGTGGCACATGTGAGTGCTGCAGCCTAAAGAACCAAATGCTTCAGAGAAAAGGGTTCCGGAGCAGCAGAGATGTGCATATGTGTGAGAGAAGGAGCTCCTGGAGAAGCAAGCACACCACAGAATGTTTATTTTAAAATAATAAGTAAGTGGCAAAAGAAAACACAGGAAAGGAAACATTCATGAAATCCAAGTCACTAAAGTGCTTTCAAGCATAAATTTAAAAAGACCAAGAAGCCTGGTCTGACCTTAAAACACTGTTTCCAGATATTCAACAATTGTTTAAATATGGTCCCATGCTATTTCAGAGGGGAGCACAAAGTATGGCTTTCTCTGCTCTTTGTTTATGAGTTCCAATATGCATAGACTATCAAATGACACTCAGGAGAACACAAAAATACTGCCTAACAAGAAAATGGAAATGTCCAAGGCCAAGTTCAAGGTAAAGATACTATAATTCATTCATATGTCTGCCCAGAGTCCTCACTATAACACACCTGATTCTTCTGGAGGTTAAACAATTTTGTATTTTCTAATTCAGAGCGAGGATGTCAGACACTATTAATCCACACAGTATATTGAGCCACATCTCAAGTGATGCCCAGCAATAAAAATGCTTTTTAACTTCAAATCCTCCTTGCTCAAGTTCTGCGAAAGATAATTAAATTTTTATTCCCAATTAACTGATTCAAGAGCGTTTAAGGAATGGTTTCCATTCTAGAACAAAATGGAATTTTCCCTAAGTCACCCATTTGTCCCTTTAAAGCAAGTGGGAATGCATTTTGTTTGGACACCATAAGAAGAAAATCAAACAGATTATTTGTCTTGGACCACTTTTGTCTTTTGAAAAATGCCAGTGAGGAATATGCACATTTCTAGTCTTTGAGGGTGGGGGACCTCCTCAGGCTACCACCTTCCCTGGCTGGAGCCCCTCCAGGCCGGTGGAGTTGGAGCTTCCTTGAGCACTGGCCCCCAGATGCACTTTCTTGGTCTCCTGCCGGGCAGAGCTGGAGAGATCGATAGCCACGTCTTCCAAGCCATTCACAGGGCTCGCCTTGTCCAAGCCTCTCTGGGGTCCTGCCTGACTCTGGCTAGAACCTTCTTTGAGCTGGTCAGAGCACCAGAGTCCTGCTAACTTGTCTTCACTTCCTGGTTTCCTTATCATCCCCATGGATTTTTTATGCATTCCTTGCAAAAAAGAAAAAGGAAAAAGGAAAA